AAATTGTGCCACATCTGGCTTTGAAATGGAACAATGACTTTGAGGTTAATCTTTCCTCTTTTTTTAGAGGGTGTTTACATCCACAGATGAACAGTGTAAGAAGTGTAGGTTTAGTTTTTAGTTGTAACTTTTAGTGGACCAAATATAATTTGATCAGTTAAAATAAAATTACTCTGCTAGGCCTAAACTGCAAACTGACCTTTAGCTTTTGGTCTGATTTTGTGACACACTGGGTCAGATGGACTGAGGCAATGTGAATGACTTTGCCAGTCAAGTTAGCCTGCTGCTGGGTGGTAAAAACCTCTCTGCCTGCACTGGCTGTATATTTAAGATCCATTTTGTTGATGGTGGCCTTTAACACAGTTGAGTTTATACATCAGCTTTGCAGGACCCACACCAAACAGAAACACAGGACATTTATTAAATTAATCCAAACATTTCTTTGGTCTGTACAGTCTGCATTGTCACACATGATGCTGGTAACATACACATTTGTTAACATAAAGACCACACTAGAGCTTTATAAATAAAAACTGTCAAAGTCAGTGCAGCAGTTACAGCTGTGATGTTAAAGTAATGTTAGCATACAGCTGCTTGTCAGCTACAACAGTTAGCTTTCAGTTTGCCCGTCAACCAGATCAATTAACTAGCACCGGCTATCTGCTGCAGTTAGCTAAAGGTTAGCTATGCTTTTGGGCAGGAAAACTAAACACAAAAGAGTTAACTCACTTACCTGTAAATGAACATGCGTTTATTGTCGAAAGCACGTTCATTTACAGGTAAGTGAGCTAACAGTTGTAGCAGACACACAGCCGCATGCTAACGTTACTTGTTTATTATTAGTCAGCTCTTCCGCATCTCAATAATGTCGAAGTCTCAGAGCCGGGGTCTGGCTCTGTCTCTTCTGCTCCTTTCGTATAGTCTTATCCCCAAAGTGTGTAATAAAGTGAATGAGCGAACTGCAAGACTAATGCAACATATGCTCTGTTTTTATTATCAAAACAAAAAACAGGAAACGGATGGTTTTCCGTTATTTCTTTCCCTATTTCTAAATTCTCATTTCAAGTTGATGGGCTTCAACCAAAATGCCTTCCGTTTTAACTGTGTGTGTCAAGCTAAGCAATATCTTCTCCATGTTATCAATCACCAATGCTGCTTAGCCATTTCTGCTTCAGCTGACTAGTGGATGAGATGCTTCATGCAGTCACTGTCTGTTAGTCCCTGTAAGTTTTATATAATGGTCTGAAGCACCCGTGTTGTTAATGAGTGCCTGGATTCCTTGGACCTAGCCTGCTCTATGTACTGTGTCTATGTCACTCACATCATGACTATTGTGTGGCATAAACCACAAAAAAACACAGAAACTGAGAATGACTTGCTGTGTGACCCATTGGCTAGTGATTATCTCTAATGTTTTATGGCACATTAGCAATGATTTGGTTGAATCCCAGTGTTACTATATAGGAATTGGAAAAAAAGAAAAAATTGTATTTATGGACTGACCTTGCCAGTATTCTCTATCTATGTCCGTTGGGAGATAAAACAGAAATATCAAATGTGACAAAAAGTGCATACTTAGTTTTGATGGTCGAGATAGTCTCAGCTGCCAGAATTATATTGAGACATTGGAAATCACCCATACATCCAACCCCTTCAGAATGGAAAGTGTCAATGACTGAAATTGCATCATATGATGTAATGTTGGCCAGAATAAAGGGGGAAAAGGCCTGTGGCTTCCAATTAGAAGCTTTTATGTAAGACTATGTATACTTAGTGCAATTTGATTCCCCTGTGTCCAGGAACACTCTTTACTTTCTTAACCTATTTGCCAGTCCACTGTCTGATTTTATTTACTTATTTTTCTGCAATTTGTGAAAATTTCGGTGCTATGTTCTCTGCCATGTTCGAAATAGTAAAAACTTTAATTATAAAAATGTATTTATAATTATAATGTTGAGACGGTGGATTTTATGAGTGATATTAGGGATTATGTTTTCACCTAGTCATTGTTTCTTAATTTTTAATGAAAACTGCAATTTTTTTCCATTTCAAGGTCAAACCGTTGCTTTAGTATGAAAGAATTCTGAGTTTTCTCAGAATGAGTTCTGAGTTTTCTCAGAATTCTGAGATTAAAGTCAGAATTGTGTGGCCCTAATCCTCTTCTGTACTTTGGCAAACAGCATTTAACTTATGTGTGTGTATATGTGTGGCTAAAAAAAAGTGTGTATTTGCAAGCAGCTCACTGAGCCCCAGCACAACTGTTATATGTATGTGCACACTGCACTCATTTCACTCTGTTTTTTAGCCAGTCTGCCTCTCTTCTCACCTTCTATATTCCCTCTCTCTCCCCTTTACCTCACTCGTCTTGCTCAACCTCACCACTGGCAGTTAAGCTCACTTGTGAGAGAGCCCACTGTGCACACTGGACAGAGGATGTATTGTCCCAATTGGCAGTCAGACATACACAAACATCTCAACTATACTGACCACCTCACACTGGGCATCCACTGCCATTTTATTGGTTATTTGGAGTCAGCATTTACATTACATAGTTTGTTCACCAGAGAACACTGATAAGTTTATTTAAACTGCAAAATGTCCGCTTGGTAGATATGTTGGTCACAGTTCTTTAAAAAACAAATTAAAGCTGCCCTTGTCAAAAACTGTTGTGTTAATATTATACATCTATGTTAAAACAAGCCAAAAAGTCTCAAGCTTGTGTTTGTGATACTGTCCCTTAGGCAGAGTGTAGCTTTGAGCTAGATGCTAACGTCAGCATGCTGACATGCTCATACTGACGATGCTAACATGCTGATGTCTAGCAGGTATAATGCTTACCATGTTCAAAGCTGGTTTAGGATGTTAGCATGCTAATATTTGCTAATTAGAATTAAACACAAAGTATTGTTGAAACCAATGGGATTGTCTTTAGATTTGCAGGTAGTTGGTAATAAAGCAAAGTATTGGACAAATAAAAACTTTGACCTGATGATGATGGCACTAGATTAAAAGGTACCACTTTACAATAAGACTATCGTTATAAAGGATTTATGAATGGTTTATAACTTGTTTACTAATTAGCTTGTTAACACTTTATAAATCATTTATAAGCTGTTATAACACATTAGATAAAATGCATGATTAACATTTGGAAATCAATCATTACACCTTACATGTGAATATGACAATGTTGACCATTTAATTTGTTTTCGCTAGATCTTTTGCATGACATACACTTTAGTGATCAGATCTTCAAGCGCTTAAAAATGTAGATACATTTCAACCAGATTTTGCGAACTACAGATATTTTATCTCATCACTTAGAGAAAAAAAGTGGGGGAGCATCGTTCCGGTGCTCGTTCAGCACTACACCTATACTCACCTGACCAGATCTTGTTGCGTCAGCTTCACACATCCACAGGAGAGTGTAAAAGACATATCTTGAAAGATCCATCTTGGGTTTTATGAGTCTATATTTGTCCCAGAGATATTACAAATGGATCATATCGGCATCTGTGTCAGACTTTGCACTGGCATCCATTCGATATTAAAGCGATTTCAAGATGATGCTGATTGCCTTTCCACTGCATGGTACCAGCTCCCCACTTAACTCACCTTTTTTGGTCTTCCATTGGGCAGAAGTTGTGGATAGTACTTGGTATCTGGTCCTTCTTTTGGTGTCACCTCCATTGATGTTACAAGTGAGCTGAGGCGATACCAAAAGGTGACATGTAAACACTGCAGACTACTGATTGGTCAGAGAGAAATGTTACTGCTGTGTCATCAATGTGCGATATGGGATGTTCTGGACAAACACACCATTTTTGAACAGCCAAGTGACTGTACATCGCTCACTGTAGCCTGTTACATTTCTGTTAGTTATTGTACCATACTTTTAGTAAGTCAACCTGCAAAACCACATCAATTTAGGAGGTGCAGGTGTTTGATATCCCTTCCATATGCTCCATTGCTCTTGTGTGTCATGTTGAAGATGACATGACATGATAGTTTTGTACATCGTCGCTATAGTAACAATGCTGCATTGTGGGGATACTATCTGCAGTGAAAAAAGTGTACGTGGTACCAAGAGTGAGTAAAATTGAGTAGAGTCAAGCTGAGTCGGTACCATGTGGTGGAAAAACACTATAAGGTCCTCTGACTTTATTTTCTGTTCCTAGAACTAATAAACTCAAATAAAATGTCAGACAGTACATATTGTATAGTAAAAAAAGAACAAAGCTAAGGAACCTGAAACTAACACAGCTAAATGGAATTAAGCCATAATTAATTCAATTTTTTACACTTGAATTTTTCCTACTGTGACATGTCAGAATGTCTTAAGTGATAAAGGTCTGTGTATGCAAATTGTCATCCTTTTAATCTTGAGATAAAGAGTTGTCCCACAGGCTTTCACAATAAAAATGAAGAGCATAACATCAATTGGCCTGCACATATTTATATCAATATTATTCTTCTCAAGATTATTATTATTAACATGTCTATCATTTCTTGTCCCAAGATAATGAAGTGAATATTCCAGGGCTAAAAAATTGTAAATTTTGAGAAGACAAAATCCTTAAATTAGTATGTTGTGATACAGTGATGGTCCTTATTACAAAATAAATATAGACCACCACAGAAATATTTATATTGAGAAAATGTGGTATGTGACAAGAAAACATTATTTTCTGGAGATGTAAAATTTAAGCTGTGATGTGGAGCTACCTGCCCTACAAATAATTATTATTAAAGCTGCTGCAGCTCCTCTCAGCTTCTGTTCTTTGTCAGCTGCATGTACTCTTACCAAAAATTTAAACCCTTTATTCAGTCATAATTGTTACCTGAGTAGCTCTATGATCTGTTATGTTTTATCTCTCTCGTGCATCTTTAACTGCTACATAAATTATTATAGATTTTTTTTTCTTTATTGTTCTGACAACAAATACCAAAATAGCCCACTAGTTGCATTGGTAAGTAACTGGTATTTCTCTGTCTCACAGGCACATGGACTCCCTTCAACCCAGTGACCGTCCGCTCCATCATATGTAAGTAACACCTACACTGACATTGAGCTCATTTTCACAAATTTACTTTTTAGTGATAGACTATGCAAGTTGCTGATTTGCTCCCTCCCCATGACAACCAGATAGATTCATTAAGGGTTGAGAAAAATGATGGGTACTTATTTTTGCATTCAGTATTGCTTTAGTTGTAACCTGCAGCAATAAGAGAGCAACAACAAGGAAATGGGACAGCTCATCTTAAAAGTCAGCTGCTGATTGCCTCAGACTCCATATATAATGATATATAAGTATAATATCTGTTTTAGTGTTCATAATTAACCATTAACTGACAATTTGAATTTTGACCAATTAATACTATAGGTTGAACAGTTAAAATATCCTGGGACGCCAGTACCATCTGAGTGGGTGTTCTCTGCCATGGGTCTCACATTTACAGCTGCGCACCAGACTAACCCCAAAGTATGTTGACATGTTGGTATTTCTGAATAAAACTAGTAGACAAGCTGCCCACTATGCTGGGGGGCTGAGGTAGGCCTGGCCTGGTTCTTTTATTTTGAGGTTTGAAAAATTAGGTTTTTATTACAGTGTCCTTGGCGCTGGAGGATTCAATGTGTGTTTTCGTTTCGTTAATCTGTTTATACATTAGAAAGTCTGGCTATTATATGCTTTTTTTTTTTTTGTTTTTTTTATATTTTCCTACGTGGGATAGGGTATTATACTGTACACAGTGCACTCTGTGCCAGAGGATTCAATGTGTGTTTTGCTTATAGACACCTATTCTAAATAGTACATTTTAATCTTATCAGTGGACAGTTAATGGTTGGATCCCTATTGTGTTTACACATTGCACTATGCAACTGCCATATATACAGTGGAGGAAATAATTATTTGATCCCCTGCTGATTTTGTAAGTTTACCCCCTTACAAAGACATGAACAGTCCATAATTTTTATGGTAGGTTTATTTTAACAGAGAGAGACAGAATATCAACAAAAAACCCAGAAAAAAACATTAAATAAAGGTTATAAATTAATTTGTATTTGATTGAATGAAATAAGTATTTGATCCTCAAGCAAAACGTGACTTAGTACTTGGTGAAGAAACCCTTGTTGGTAAGCACAGAGGTCAGACGTTTCTTGTAGTTGGTCACCAGGTTTGCGCACATCTCAGGAGGGATTTTGGTCCACTCCTTTTTAAAGATACTCTCCAAATCCTGAAGGTTACGAGGCTTTTGCTTAGCAACTCGAAGTTTCAGCTTCCTCCACAAATTTTCTATGGGATTAAGTTCCGGAGACTGGCTAGGCCACTCCAGGATCTTAATGTGCTTCTTCTTGAGCCACTCCTTTGTTGCCTTGGCCGTATGTTATGGGTCATTGTCATGCTGGAAGACCCATCCATGACCCATCTTTAGTGTTCTGGCTGAGGCCAGGAGGTTCTCATCCAAGATTCCACGGTACATGGCCCCGTTCATCGGCCCTTCAATGCGGTGAAGTCTTCCTGTACCCTTACCAGAGAAACAGCCCCAAAGCACAATGTTTCCATCTCCAAGTTTTACAGTGGGGATGGTGTTCTTGGGATCATATTCAGCATTTTTCTGCCTCCAAACATGGCGAGACGACTTGATGCCAAAGAGCTCAATTTTGGTCTCATATGACCACATCACATTCTCCCAAGCCTTCTCTGAATCATTCAGGTGTTCATTGGCAAACTTCAGACGGGCCTATACATGTGCCTTCTTGAGCAGGGGGAACTTGCGGGCACTGCAGGATCTCAATCCATTATGGCGAAGTGTGTTACCAATGGTTTTCTTGGTGACTGTGGTCCCAGCTCCCTTGAGATCATTAACAAGCTCCTCCCATGTAATTCTGGGCTGATCCCTCACCATTCTCAGAATCATCCTAACCCCAGGTGAGATCTTGCATGGAGCTCCAGAGCGAGGGCGATTGACTGTTATCTTGTATTTCTTCCATTTTTGAATTATCACGCCAACAGTGGTCTCTTTCTCATCAAGCTTCTTGCTGATGCTCTTGTAGCCCATTCCAGCCTTGTGCAGGTCTACAATCTTGACCCTGACGTCCTTTGACAGCTCTTTGGTCTTGCCCATGGTGGTGGAGAGGTTTGAATGGAAGAGATTGATTCTGTGACAGGTGTCTTTTATACACATAACGAGTTGAGATTAGGAGTACTTTCCTAAAGGGACAGGGCTAATTTGACTGCCTCATGGGCACATAACCGGTCTGTGGGGGTCAGAATTCTTGCTGGTTGGTAGGGGATCAAATACTTATTTCACTCAATCAAATACAAATTAATTTATAACCTTTATTTAATGTTTTTTTTCTGGATTTTTTGTTGATATTCTGTCTGTCTCTGTTACAATAAACCTACCATAAAAATTATGGACTGTTCATGTCTTTGTAAGGGGGTAAAATTACAAAATCAGCAGGGGATCAAATAATTATTTCCTCCACTGTTACACTGCTCAAAGAAATTAAGGGAAAACTTGAGTCATACATCGGATTTTGATGAACAAATTATTCAAGTTGAAAATCTTTACTGATGTACATTGTATAACTTGTTGAGAACAAAATGACGTAACCACGTTCAATGGAAACCAAAATCATCAACCCATTGTGGGCTGGATTCACAATCACAGGCTGATCGAACTTGCGTGAATTTCATCACGACAACTCAATAGTGTGTATGGTGCCTGCGAGTCAATGGGTGGTGTCCTGGGGGACCTCTTCCCAGACCTGGATCAGGGCATCAGTGTGCTCCTAGACAGTCAGTGGCGGTACTTTGCAGCGTCAGATGCACCGATACATAACGCCCTATAGGTGCCCAATTGGATTTGGGTCAGGGGAACGTGAGGTCTAGTCAATGGCATCGATGCCTTCGTCATCCAGAAACTGCCTACACACTCTGGCCACATGAGGCCGGGCATTGTCCTGCACCAGGAGGAACCCAGGGCCCACTGTAATCATTTGCTTAATAGTCCCACAGAAATCCTGTAATAACAATTCCTTTGTTGGGAGGTAATTGAATTTGACCACATGGGGGTGAGGAGTGGAGTATGGTTGGGGGATCAAACTGTTTCTACGTGTGTGTGTGTGTGTGTGTGTGAGAGACAAAGAGTGAATAATATCTCTTACATTATACCTTATTGCTGACTTCCTCCTTCTTTCTTTCAGCCATGTTCGACAGGGAAAACAAAGGTGGGGTGAACTTCAACGAGTTCGCCGGTGTGTGGAAGTACATCACAGACTGGCAGAACATCTTTAGGACCTATGACAGGGACAACTCCGGCTTCATCGATAAGAATGAGCTTAAACAGGCACTGACTGGATTTGGTGAGCAGCAAAGTATGCTTGTACATTTAAATTTAATCAATGTTGTGGAGGGTTCTGTGGCTGTTTATAGGACTGTCCTATCTCTGGGTCAATAGGTCAGATTGAGTCTTTTCAGTAGCTGTGTGTGTGTGTGTGTGTGTTTGTGTGTGTGTGTGTGTGTGTGTGTGTGTGTGTGTGTGTTTGAATAGCATGTCTGTATACTGTAATACTTATAATAAGGGAACAGTTTGGAATTCTATCCCAACTTTACAATCACCACTTGCTGCTGTGGCTCAGGAGGTAGAGCGTCCGCCAATCAGGCCAGTGGTTTGATCCCCAGTTCCTTCAGTCTGCATGTCGAAGTGTCTTTGGGCAAGATACTGAACCCCAAATTGCCCCTGATATCTCATCAGTGTGTGATAGAAAGGTGCTGAATGAATAGAAAAGCCTTGTATGAATGTGTTAGTGAATAGGTGAATATGGCTTGTAGTGTAAAACACTTTGAGTGGTAATTAAGGCTAGAAAAGCACTGGAAGTGCAGTCCATTTACCATTTACCAGTCATGTAGCAACTATTTTGTTGTACAGCCTTTTATTTTTATTGACAAACAGCTCAGGCCTGCCATCTACAGTGCAGTGCACTTATGTTGGGATTAAAAAAAGCTGAAAACCAGAGGTTAAATGATAGCCAACCAAGGAGACAAAATCCATTTTAGAACTTCATTCATCAAAAAAAAAGACTTTGAAAGGGAGATTTTGTAGTTTGCCTTTGAAATGTTGACTGTATTACTGTTGTCATATTTGCTGTTGTGTACAGGCTATCGTCTATCAGATCAGTTCTACAGCACACTGATAGAGAAGTTTGACCGCCAGAGGAAGGGACAGGTGGCCTTTGATGACTTCATCCAGTGCTGTATTGTACTACAGGTGACATATTTCCACTATATCATAATAAACACACACATAAAATAAATTTTTATTTTTATTTGCATGCACATGCAAGCTGGCCGCTTACACAGGCACCTAGGAACATTCAAAGCTTTACAAATGGTTTTATACCCTTTCCCTGATCCATGCCTGGACTTTATGGCTTGGTTTTTGTTCTGACCTGCAATGTAAATTGCGGGACCTTCATATACACAGGTGTGTGGCTTTCTAAACTATGTCCAATTAATTGAGTGTGCCAAAGGTTTCTCCAGATGAATTCTAGACAAATCTCAAGGATAATTCAAGCAAAGAGGGGGTACCTGATCACAGTTTAGAGTACTACAGCTCTCTAAACGGAATACTTTTTTACATAATACTTTTGTTGATTGTTAATAAATAATTATTAATAAATTTGCAACCATTTCTTGAAAAATTTTAAATACAACATAATAAAGCGTGTAAAAAGTGAAGGGGTCTGAATACTTTCTGAGGCTAGGGTACATGAATATAGGATATCCTTAGCACTTGCATCACAACAAGCCTACTCTTGTATTTATAAGGCAGTTTTTAATTATGCACATTTAAGAAATTCATTACAGTCTAATAATTCAGATTATTAATTTCTACTGCCAAATGTAACAGCCTGATAAACTCTTCAGTTACAGTAGAGTGGTAATATATAATATAATATAACAGGGTTTAAAGCCTTTTCTAATGGATTTGTCTGATCACATTCCTATTTTTCTAGATTTGTATATTAAAAACAAGAAAAATACTTTTGCATGAAGACTGAATTCAATTGTACGGAAGAGGATTAGGGCCACATGTTAAACTTTTTTTTTTTTAATTCTGACTTTAATCTCAGAATTCAAAACTCTACTGGCTAATGTGACAGTAGGAGAGTTGCAGAAGGCAATATCAAGACTCAAACATTATTTACAGCTGAATGGTATAAGACCTATAGCGACTCTCTATCACCACTGCTACTGAAAACATTTAACTGGGTTCTACAGAAAGGGGAAATCCCCCCTTCATGGCGGGAAGTGGTCATAGCTGTAATACCAAAAGAAGGTAAGGATAAGACAGACTGCTCCAACTTTTGGCCAGTCAGTGTGTTGAATCAAGATTATAAATTTTTCACATCAATCCTAGCAAGACAATTAGAAACAATTCTCCCAGCTATTGTACAATTGGACCAGGCAGGATTTTTAGGCAGAGGCAAACTCAGAACAATGTTAGGGGGATGTTGCATGTAATTAACCACATAAACAAAAATGATATAGAAGTGGTCTTGCTGGGGTTAGATGCAGAGAAGGCGTTCGACTCGGTTCATAGGTCTTTTTTTATACAAGGTAAAATACAGATTAATGGTGGATACAAAATAAACTTTCTTGTGAGCACATGAAACTTTCACACACCCACATGAAACTTTCTCGTGAGCACGTGAAAGTTTCTAGTGCGCACCAGAAACTCAAAAGATATTTTTTTTTTCCCCACAAGTTTCCCCCCCCCCCCAAGTCCCCTTAGGGGCTCTGTACAATTACGATGTCTCAACACTGTAAAAAAAAAAAAATCTATAAAAAAGGTCAAATGACTGGCAGCAGCTGCCCACCAAAAAACATAAAATTAAAGTAAAATATCCTAATTTGAATAAAGTGTAAAAACAATAAATTTATGGAAAGTTTCATTAATATTTATAGAGAGAAGAACTGTTATTTTACATATTTTTCCTAATTTATTATGATCAAACACCTTCAATAAAGGGAATCCACTCACATTTCTACAGCTAAAAACTGTTATTTTACAGATTTCTCATAATTTATTATGATCAAACACCTTCAATAAAGTGAATCCACTCAAGTTTCTACAGCGAAAAACTGTTATTTTACAGATTTCTCCTAATTTATTTTGATCGAACACCTTCAATAAAGTGAGTCCACTCAAGTTTCTACAGGTAAAAAACTGTTATTTTACTGATTTTTTCCTAAATTGTTATGATCAAACACTTTCAGTGATGCCACTCGTAGTCCTGCAGAGAAAAACTGTTATTTTACAGATTTTTCCTAAATTATTATGATCAAACACCATCAATAAAGTGACGCCACTAAAGTTTCTGCAGAGAAACTTTTTCATAATAATAAAATTAAGTGTCAATCAATGAAATATTAACACATGCCTAATATTGTAAAGTAAACATTTTGTTTTGGAAGACAAAGTAAAAAATACAGTGTAAATCATCTCAAACATCAACTTGCAGTATTTGTGTTAACATTTAATCTTTAAGTATGTAAAGTTATGTTAAAAACCTGTAGAAGCACAATCTAAATGCAATATTTAATGATTCAGATACATTTTCTTACATCTCTCATAAAATATAATATACTGAAGAAATGCAAATTAAATTATTAAGTCGCTATATGTAGTCTTTCAACTAAAGTGGGGTTGGAAACCTAATTACAAATAACATACGCACCACTGTTGACTTTATAGCACTTTTATTTAATATGTTCAGATGTAAATTTACAATATCAACCAATTATTCACAAATAGTTCTTCAGAGACCCCCAGGATAATTTGAAAGACTAAAACTGGGATTTCTCCATTGGTCTGTCTTGCCTGTTAAGGTTAATATGATGAGGAGTTCATGATTTCACCTCTGAAAGAGGTGTGCTGTGGAGCTGAGGGGGTTGTGGTCTGTTGTTTTTTAGCTTGTACTGTATATTCCAATTCAGTTTTATCTTGTTTTCCACAGTATTCTCCACATAGGTCTGACAACATATGTGGACAAACATTATACTATCTTTTATTTCAGAATCCCAACTATACAGTGTATTAATAAGTAAAATCAAAACATACCACAAAGGTCAATGAATCTGTATCAGAAGTGACAATGCAACATAGCAGATGAAGAAAAATCCACCTTCAAATTGCCAGTAATCAGCTGGATCCTTGGTGGATCTGGGGGTAAAAGAAATAACAGGAAACACTAAGATTCACTGTAAAGTTCTTAAAAAAGCATTTTATTTATTTATTTTTTTTACCATTACCTTAATAAAGCTTAAAAAAATGTTATTTATATTAGCTGTACCGACAAAGAATGACATTCTGTGGCTGCATTCTAATGTTCCGCCTGACTAAACATCAAACATCTCAAGCTCATTTTCAGAACACTCTGCTTGTGCTAAACAGGCATGCTGTGCACTGGTTCTTCAGCATTATTATGATCTCACAGGTGATGTACTGCTGTGGGTCCTTGGCAATGTTAAATACAGTTGGACACACCAAAAAATATTCAGTTATATCTCAGAGCTGTTAACTTTGATTATTTGACATGCTTCTTACTAATAACGTGCATGCTGTTGAGATCAGTAACTGCACCCCATCCTTCTTGGGGAGGGTTCTAATACAGGGACTGCCATCTACCCTACACACATCAATGTTTACATTAACTTCAGATAAAACCAAAGATATTTAACACCAGTGAGTAAATCAATCTGTTTATATCAGGTGAGTAAATCAGGAAGAGTGCTACCTGCAAGGTGGAAGGAAGGCCAGAAGTGAAGTTGTTGATACTAAAAACCCCACAATGCATCACAGCATCTCGCCCGGCAGTTCTTGATCTCAGCAGACTGGAAAGAGACAGAGTAGGTCATGTTTATCAAATTACTTTATTGTACTTATTTCATATCTAGTTAAGGAACACCACATTAGAGAAGAAGATAGTACCTATGATCAGAGCAGTATCCTACTTCTTAGGATTAAAAAAAAAAAACAGCAAATAGTATGATGAACTGTATATATTAAATACTGTAAAGAAGCACATAGAACTTAACATAAACTTGGATTCATTCATTCATGGTGTATTGCTAGGTATTAACTGAATAACACATTAATTAATCAAGGACAGAATTAGCCTAAATTGACTAACAGCAATAGGGATCAACCGATAGGTTTTTTTTCAGTGCTGATTCCGATTATTAGTAATCAAACAGACAGAAATATTTGGAGCTGATGCCAACACAAAACTACTGCTACATAAAGACACTTGCCAGGCTTTCAAGTTTCTATTATTTTCTACTATTTTGTCCATTCCATTTATATCAAGGAAGATAGGCTAAATAACTGAAACACCTCTGTATAAACAGTATAATCTTCATGAGGTACGATTTATTGCAGGGTTGTTGTATTAGACTATATCAGTTTTAGCTAGATGTTCCAAATAAATTGTCAACTGAGTGTACATTAATAATTATCAGCTGTATGCACAGGCTGCAAAGAGCCTGACTGGAATTAATTGATTGCTTTCGGTGCTGGTTTCACCTGGGAACTGATACTGGCTCCCAGGCAGCCTAAATGTTGTTGTTTAATACTTTTATCATATATTTTTATTATCATCACCATATAAGACGTTTTACCCCTCCTCTTCCCCTTTTAAAAATGTAGCGTAGTAACACATTTACTCAGTGTACATTACCTTTCATTAACGGGTGAGTTTCTGTTACCGGTAGTTTATTGCTGCTCTATCTGAACACAGTTAATGTTGTTGTTTTCTTCTACAGTGACTAACTACCTGCTGTACATTTAAGCTTACCAGTTCTGCTCTAGCATCCACAGTTCTCTGCTGCTGCTTCAGCATTTGTTTACATGCTATTCAGAACTGATTGTTACTTTAGCTTAGCAGTTAGCTCTGGCTTCTCTCTCTCTCTCTCTCCCTTGCTCAGTGTGTGTGTCTCGGACCAACAAATTAACTTGTACATAAGAGTGTTGTGTTTTTGTAGTTTCAGAATATTGGATTGTGATGTTTATTACAACTTCAGCAATGTCCGCTGTCGTGCCGTCAACACACAGCTCTGCTCGCTAACCGGAGTTACAAACAAAATAGCATGTTAGTTATTACTCACAAATCCCTAAGTTGTCATCTGGAACATGGGTGAACAATGACGAACTGGGTAATGCCCGGCGATGGGAAGCATGAGTGGTAGGCCTGAGACAACAGTCCAGACAAGGCGGTAGCTGCACGGGAGACTTCTGCTCCTCGATGTGTTTCCTGGTCCTCTCTGTCTAAGTGTACAAGTGTGCTCAAGACAGTTTTCTCAGTCACTTTACTCGTTCACTTCACATATTTAAAAAAGAGAAGAGAAGCAAAATATAGCCCTGTCCGTGGTCAATATCTTGAAATACATTTATTTCCTTACCACAATTGCTTACAACTCCAATAGAATACGGATTATTATCAGGCTATAAACTAAATGCCCACAAGTCCCAAATTCTCACATTCAATTACTCCCTAGCCAATCAGTCAAAGTAATTTTGGAATTGGATTCAATGAAATATTTAGGAGTGAATATCCCAAAGGACCCAAACAAGATTGTGTTACTAAATCACAATCCCTTAATTTGCAAGATTAAATCTGACCTGACCTCATGGAATCTATTGCCCTTCTTAGGGCTAGCATAGAGGGTGGACGCCATAAAAATGAATCTGGTGGCTAGACTATTAATGTATATCTGTTCGAAACCATTCCAGCGGACCTCCAGAATTAAAGATTTCAGGAAATAGACAAATTGATATCATGATTCATTTGGCAAGGAAAAGGGCCAGGGATTAGGTTTAAGACTCTCCAACTGGCTAGGGATAAAGGTTGCCTCTCCCTTCCAAATATCAAAAATTATTACCAGGCAGTACAGATAAAAACCTTGGTCAGCATATGCAACCCATCTTATAAAGCTAAGTGGAAAGAGGTAGAATGCCAGATATCAAGTGACATTCCATTGAAAGCGATTATAGACGACAGTGGTTTGACTAATCATTTAAAGGAGGCAAATCCATGGATAAAGACATCACTTAGGATTTGGCATATGATGGTCAGTGAGAACAGGACCAAAGAACCATACAAATTATGAGATGGATAGGATATGATTCAGACTTTCTACTTAACAAGAAGGACGCTAAATTGGCTGACAAAGGACTGAGAAAATACAGTGACCCCTATGATGGGGTAACACTAAGACACTTCCAGGACCTAAAAAAACAGTTTGGATGAACAATTCATGACTTCTATAGGTTTTTGCCACTCTTTTTTTGATTGCTCTGTGGTAGTAGGTGTCAAAAGCTTATAACATGAAAATGCTATAAGCATCATGTATAACCTATGTTTATAAATAAAATAAATAATAAATAAAAAACATTTATTAACAAAAAAAGAAAAAAGCCATTTCTGAGCTAGATTTGAATGAGTCAACTTGAGTTGATATATTTGCATGTGCAGCAGTATAGGGTAAAGAAAACAAGCACTATTCTGTGAAACAAAGTTGAACGTTTATAGCTGTTAACTATGCTGGTAAATGCTTGAAATGAAAATATGATATGATGACGTAAAATTGTGATTGAAAAGTATTGAAGCAATGATCTTTCAATACAACACCTAAACTGTATGAATAAATGTATATCAATTTTGTATTGGAGAGTTTAGAGCAATAATAAATTACAGTTTGGTGTTGTTATGTTTAAAAAGTTAAATTTATTATTATTGGCCCTTCTTTCCACAGAGGTTGACTGACGTGTTCAGGCGATACGATACAGATCAGGATGGCTGGATCCAGGTATCATATGAACAGTACCTTTCCATGGTCTTCAATATAGTATAACACACACGGATGAGTACAGGAGAGCACAACTGGAAACAACTGTGCAAAAGCTACCGGCACCCCCCGAATGTCTGCAATTGTGGACACAACAAGATTTTTTTTTAAACCTAATTTTTAGCCACAGTTTGGCTGTTTCACACAAATTTATAAAACTAACAAGAAAACTTAAAGGAATGTTCCATTTTTTGAGTTCGTAATACCTTCCAGATGAGAGTATGTGTCTGGAAGTGCAACTTTAAAGCTCGATGTTTTAAAATAGTATCTTGCAGTGTTTTGTTTGGGTGACCAATCTGAACAATGTCTGTGTTGAGGACTCTCTGTTGGGAATATTATGAACACATCTGTCAGTCTGTCTGTTATTGTCAATAAACTTTTTTAATCTCTTAACTTTAATTGATGCAATTTAAAATAACTCTGTTGAGAGTAAAATGATGCATTGTAAATATGATTTAAGATGCATTGCATGCTTTTCAGGGAAATTAGCCCCACTTTGAAGCATGCTTTCCCTTTCTCTTATCTTTTCCTCAGCTCTATTTTGCTCAAAGCCATGTTTACAAGAACTGTGAAAGCAGGTGATGTTCTGCTTTGAGATTCACTGACATGCCAGCTTACATGCCATATTTGTACAAACTTATTTTTAACAGCAAATCTTCAATTATTAAAACAGAATTTTTGGTAGAGGGTAAGCATAATGCCTTTAGTATGGATTTTGTTTTGTGCATGATGCCTTAAAATGTGTAAAAAAACAAACAAAAGAGAAATCTTTTTCTTATTAAATAAAAATAAATTTAAATGGACTCTGCTTTTATTATTTACAGGACATCAAAGTCAAGTGAATGCAGGGGGAATCCATGGAATTAACACAGCTAAATGTCACCCTCTGCTGTATTGCTGTAGTACTTACCACTGCAGTGTGCCCACAGATGAGTGACAAACTTGTGAGAAACGTAACAAATGCAAATACTTCCACTCTGGTGCATTGCATGATACATAAGCAATTAACATCCAATTATGCTCTGTAGCATGTACAAAAATGCTGAGCAGGCCCAGATGATTCTGTATCGAGGAAAAGATCTATAAGTGGTGATGAAAGAGGGTTCATTGTTGGGACACATGGCAGGAGCCTCAGTCACAAAGACTGCTCAACTTTCTAGTGTTTTAACAGGAACGCTGATTTAAGTGACATCTGCATTTAGATATATAGGAAAGTAGATAGGCTCGGAAATTGTGGTCGACTCCACATTTGATGACCTAGATGCTTGTGCATTTTTATGATTATGTAAGGAAAAACAGAAGAGCAATTCTTCCACAGGTGCCTGAGAATGTCGATGCATCCATTGACAATGACATTAGAGAGGGATATTATAGTACGCCTGCAGCGCATAAATCCCTCATTAAAAAGATGAATGAACATTTGAGAGTTAAGTGGTGCACAAACCAGAAGCATTAGTCTACAGAGATGTGGAAAAAAGTAATATGGTCAGAAGACTCATCACCAAGAGAACGGTACAGACCTGAATGCTTGACCCCTATAGTTAGGGGATCCGGTGGCTCTGTTATTCTGTGGGCATGTGGGCATGGTTTGGGTCCACTTTTGCCCTTAGAGGGAAGGGTCTCTGCAAATCAATTCAAAGTTGTTCTGACTGATCACTTTTATAGTATAATGCAATATTTCTACCCTGATGGGAGTGATCACTTCCATGATGACAATGCTTCCATCCATAGGGTATGAGGGGTCACTTAATTGATGGCTTTGGCCTTTACAGTCACCAGATCTCAACCCATCTGTATATGTGTAAAAAAAACATGTTTTTGTTTGTTTCAAATTCCATTCACTACTCAGACACCAAAAGTAATACTCATTGGTGTGGTATCGATCAGTTCTACCATTTCACAACTATCTCCAAAACGGCTTGGCTTAGATTCAAAATTTTTCATCATTTTAATCTCCAAGACCAAAGGTCTTCTACACTTAAACAAACTATTGAAGGCTGCTCATCTTATTCTCACTATTATATATATGTATATAAATCATCTACAGACAAATTTGACAAAGGTTGTTAAAGGAACTTTAATATGTCGATTTGTTTTGAAATTCTACATTTTTAAACCTATGTCTTTAAGATAAATTTTACATAAATGTTCATGGATTAAAATTGGCTAAACCAATTGTAGTCCGATTGTTCTGATGCTATGTCCTTGCTTTGGTAGCTTTGACAATGAATGTGAACCCAGTTGAATGCTGTGTGATATTTTTCAGTATCTTATCACAAACATTTTCACTGCTCTAAGTGTTTATCACATGACATATCACGTTACTTTGATGATGCCAAAACATGGCTGCAATTGTCTAAAAGTCTATTGATTTTACATTTTTTACTCTGTCCCTTCATTCCTTGTTTGTAAACAAAAGAGTTATGTTGGTTAAGATCTGATGAAAGCAGATTTAGAATTCATCATCATGCCATCATAGTGCTTGAAAATAACTTGATATGCAGCTGTTCCTGGTCTGACTTTAATAGAAATTATATTTAGACATGGAAATAATATTTTTTTATTCCAGTCATGTGATCATATTATTTACATTTCACCTTGTTGAATGTCACTTTTGGATGTTGCCAATGTGATGTGTGTGAGTGAGTGAGTGAGTGAGTGAGTGAGTGAGTGAGTGAGTGAGTGAGTGTGTTTGTGAGTGAGTGAGTGTGTTTATGAGTGAGTGAGTGTGTTTTTGAGTGAGTGAGTGAGTGAGTGAGTGAGTGAGTGAGTGAGTGAGTGAGTGAGTGTGGTTTGTGAAGTGTGAGTGAGTTTGGTGAGTGAGTGAGTGTGTTTATGAGTGAGTGAATGTGTGTGTGTGAGTTGTGTGTGTTGTGTGAGGTGTGTTTATGAGTGAGTGAGTGTGTGTGTGGTGTGTGTGAGTGTGTTGAATGAGTGAGTGTGTGAGTGAGTGAGTGTAGTGTGTGTGTGTGTGTGTGTGTGGTGAGTTGTTGGTTTTATGAAGTGAGTGAGTGTGGGTGTGTGTGTTTTGTGAGTGAGTGTGTGAGTGAGTGTGGTGGTTTTTAAGTGAGTGAGTGTGGGTGTGTGTGAAGTGTGTTTGTGAGCGAGTGAATGAGTTTGTGAGTGAGTGTGTTTATGAGTGAGTGAGTGTGTGGTGTGTTGATGTGGTGTGTGAGTTGGAGTGTGTTTGTGAGTGAGTGAGTGTGTGTGACAGTGAGTGTTTGTGAGTGAGTGAGTGAGTGTGTGTGAGTGAGTGAGTGTGTTTGTGAGTGAGTGAGTGAGTGTGTGTGAGTGAGTGAGTGAATGTGTTTGTGAGTGACTGAGTGAGTGTGTTTGTGAGTGAGTGAGTTTGTGAGTGAGTGAGTGTTTATGAGTGAGTGAGTGTGTGTGTATGTGAGTGTGTG